AATGAAAATGGAACCTAACTCTGAAAAGGTGGCGACTGAATGAGATGAAACATAGTAATTGTCCCTCAGAACAAATCAAGTGCCTAGTGAAAGCCAGCCCTTATGGTTGTTTTGTTATGATTATTTTCCTCTTTGTTCCTCAAGCACCAAGGAATTTCTCACCTAAGCACTCCATTCTGCACAAAAACGTCAGCTCCCAAGCATGCAAGTGCAGCGGTACTTTAGCTCAAACTATAAAAATCAGAAAATACATGTAGAAAGAGGTGGCATTTGAGCAGAGGCCTGCAGAGTTCTGGAGACAGCGTCCGGGAAGAGGGAACTGCAAAGGCAGCGGCTGGGAAGTAGGTAGGAGCTTGACAAGTAAAGACTGGCGGAGCTGGAATACAGTAAGCAAAGGAAGAACAGAGGGGAAGACACATGGGTAGACAGTAGTCAGAGGAACAGCTGCAGCAGGCCATGGTGGGCTTTGAACTTACTCTGAGTGTGACCGTGGAGACTCCTGCATTCTCCAAACAGCTACTTAGCCCCCTGTTACAGGTCTGGCCCTGTTCTAGGTCTGGGCACAGAGCAGCAAACAGGAATTCACACCACAGGACTGGAGACAGACTCTCAACCAGGACCTGAATGACTGCACCAGACAATGCCTGATGGCCCTAAGGATTCTGATGACAAGAAACCAAAGGGAGGCAATTAGAGAGTTTATCAGCAGCTTTAGAAGAAGAAACCAGGGAAGGCTTCTCTGAGGAGGGGCCACTGGACACAGCTGGAATGAGGGGAGGGGGCCACATGATGACAACCACAGATGCTGACTGGGGCTATGACAGGAGTCCACATGGTCACAAGCTAGAGAGAAATCTAGAGACTGTTGTGTGTTGACATCCACGTGCACATCCTGCACACTCTTCACATGACAGTAAATGTCTTGAACAGAAATGAATTTACTACTCCAAGTTGCAAGCCAACCACGACACAAGCTTGGCTTGGGTGGGTGACTGAAGGCAATACGGGGAACAGAGGAGTCTGAGTGCTGCGTGGAGGTAGCAGGGAGCCCCATCCCTTCTGTCTCTGATTCCTCACCCCTAGTCTGCTCTCCACTCCACTAGGGAAGCCTATTAAAACCTAAATCAGAATGTCACACTCCTCTACCCCGAATCTTTCATGGCGCCCACGAACTTTAAAAGAGGCCCGGTTCCCAGAGGACCCAAATAGATATTATCCACAGAGGGCATACAGGTGGGTCAACGAGCATGTGAAAAGATGCTCAACATCACTCATCATCAGAGAAATGCAAATTGAAACCACAATCAGATACCACCTCACACCTATCAGAATGGCTATCATCAATAAACCTATAAATAATAAGTGCTGGTGAGAAGGTGGAGAAAAGGAAGCCCTCTGGAACTGTTGGTGAGATTGTAAACTGGTGCACCCACTATGGAAAACAGTATGGAGGTTCCTCGAAAAATTGAAAAAAGACCTACTTTATGACCAAGCAATTCCACTTCTGGGTATTTAGCCAAAGCTCTCCAAAAAATGGACTTGAAAAGATATGCACCTCTATGTACACTGCAGGATTATTTACAACAACGAAGATATAGAAACCATCTATGTGTCCATCAATAGACAAATGGATATAGAAGTGGTATAAATATATATATATATATATGTGTGTATATATATATACATACATACATACATATATATATACATACAATGGACGGACTATTACTCAGCCATAAAAAATGAAATCTTACCCATTTGTGACAACATGAAGGGATCCAGAGGTCCCTAAAGGTTCCCCATTATGCTGAGTGAATTAAGTCAGAGACAAATACTATATGATTTCACATATACGTGGAATCAAAAAGAGCAAAACAAATGAAAAATAAGAACAGAGCGATATAGAAGAAAAGATGATGGTTACCAAAGGGGAGAGGAGTGGGGGTTTGGAATAAAAAATGGTGGAGAGACAATAAGTAAATAAAATTGATTTTTAAAAAGACATGCACAAATGACACACTAGGACACTTTTAGATTCAGACAATCAGTAAAAAAAAAATAATTAATTAAAAAAAAAAAGAGGCCTCGTTCCTCAGCCTGTCATTCCACACCTAGCTCCTGTCTCAGTGCTCTCTGTTCTTGGCAGGCAAAACAAAGACAGGCGATTCCATCCAGCTCAGCCTCGCCTTCCAGAATCTGCACCTATTGGGTTCTTGTGCCCAAGACATCCCTCCACACCTCACTGATTACCTGATGGAGTTGGAGATGCTTCCCTATCCACCACAGCCTGGATTCAGGCCCAGGTTGACTGGCCTTCGTGGCCCCCACACTTCAAGGTAGAGTTAGGGGAAGCAAAGAAACCCAGGACGACTACGCTCTATATGGGGGTGCTGGAACCCTGTGCTGGGGGGATCCAAGAGGCCTGAGGGGGCCATCTACTCACCTGTGCTGGATCCATCTGCGTCTCTGCGGCCTCCATGGGGCCGACCCAAGGCCATGCAAACTGGGAGACCAGGGCGGGTCTCAAGGGCTTAGCTGACCCCGACCCCGTTCTCGTTCAACCCTCGGCCCCGTCTCTGTGCAGCAGGGCGATGCCGCTTCTGAAGACTCACTGCTCACTTGTCCCTGAACCCCCTAGGCCTCCAGGGCAGTGCTCTAGATGACAAAAGCCGCCAATGCACCCTCCACGAGGAAACGTCAGAAGTCTCGCGGGACACGAGATCCCAGTTCTGCACCGTCATTGGCCCAGAGCTGCTGCTGTGCCTGCTGCGTAATAAGGTTCCCACAGCTCTGCAAGCTTCCTCGAAAGGCGCCCTTCCGGAAGTCTCCACGAAAGACCAGTGGTGCCCGCGCTTGTGTCAGGGACCCTCGGAAATGACGTCACCAGGCCCTGGGCGGGTGCGGCAAGGCTCCTTCAGTTCTTAAATGGCTCCCCGCCTATTTCTGGAGCCAGTCTTCTGCAACTGAGAGACAGGTTGATACATGTTATTTCATATGTGCCCAAAGGCTAAAAGTCCAAAGAGACATGCCAGACCATGTCACTCAGGTAGAAAATGAGTCCACGCAAAGTTTAGACCTAATAAATATTGTCGTGCTGCTCTTCAATGACAGGGACACTGAAGCTTAAGAGTCAATTCTCTAGAGACAATGGAAAAGAGACTCAGAGAGGAGATGGCAGAGATGACAACAGCAGCCTTGAATGACATGGCCAAGTTTCTTTCCTGTTTGTATACTCACGGATGGTATCCCTGTCTAACTCAGTGTGCAGCACTGCCTCATTACTATGGTGTTTTATACTCCATAAACCAAGGCATATTCCATTTGTTTTAGTAGTGCGACACCTGACATCTATTGGAAAAGGAGAGGTATTCACATTTCATTTTGTGCCCAGACAATGGCCATCTGAATCCCGACACGAATGCATTTTCTTGATCTCTATCTATTTGCTGTAATTGCAAAGATAGTACCTACTGGGGGGATTGAAATGATCTCCGAAACGCCATGTGCGAACAGCAAAGTACTCCCACCAGTCTTTGAGCAAGATTATGCACAATGTCACCAATTGCTCCCTGTCATAAATTAATATTTATTCAGTAAAACTTCACTCTAAGAAGATGCCCGGTAGTATTCTCATTATATAGCATCTCCATTACAGAGGATCTGTACGTGATTGTGGTTACATCACTCCATGTCCTCAGATCAGAACAGGGCCTCGCAACCCCCAGTCAGCCTCACTGTGTCACACCACAATGGTCAAGGATGACCCAAAGTTTGTGTCTCACCTGGGAGGATGAAGTTATCACTACTGACATGAGAAGAGGGGGTGGTGGTACAGATCGATGAACTTAAAAGGAAAAATTAGGATCTCACTTTTGAACATATTTGTTGTAGAATCTATCAAACATTCACGTGAAGCAGACTGTAAGCATTTCAATACAGAACTCTATATTGATAAAAAATGTCAGCATTTTTATTCATCGATAGATTGATTTTTAGAATGTCCATAGCTACACATTCCAGACTTCCCGACAGAAGAAGAAATTAATATTCAGAAATAACACAAAGTAATATGTTTCATATATGGATTCGTGCAGTTACAGGTAAGTCCAGTGTTTTGGAGAAAGTAAATACAGTAGGCAGTTTTTTTTTACACAGACCTGGAGTGTCTTAAGGTAGGACCAACATGTGATACCATTTGCATGCTAGAGCTCCATGTGGGATCACGCTGAGGTCGGATGTGGCCAAACCCTTGCTTTGTTCTTCATCCTTCTGTTTCACCTGATAATTTCTCCTCAATAAATCACATGTTGTTGGACCCTGTACTAGGTTCTGCTTCTACTAAACCCAATCTTAGGCAGGACACATTTAGTCAAAACATAAAATCTTAATCATATAAAATATATTAGGGATATTAAGGCTTCTTTTCCATATGAAGATGAGCAAAAGAGGTCAGGAAAACTTGCTTAAACGGTCCCACTGTGAACCAGGCTCTGCAATTTTAAAGGAGGATTAGAATGTGATGGTGAACTTCTCTTTTAGTGTGTGGGGTGCCTGTCCCCTGGCCAGTTCCTGATCAGCATGGAACACGGTGTTGTCTGCTGTGGACTTTATATTTGGTATGGATGTCAAATCCCTGGCAGCATCGGAATCATTGGGAAAATAAGAATACAGCTCCCAGTTCACTGAAGTAATTATGAGGAGGGTTAGAATGTGATGGTGAACTCTTCAGGAAAGGACTCGAGCATTTGTGTTGATACCAAGGTCCTACATGATTGTGAGGTTTGAGTACCTCAGCTCTCAGAGAGTCCCAAAGTAAGAGTGAAGTTTAATTGAATGAAAACACATAGAATTTTAAAAACAGAACCTGAAAGGGCCTTAAATTGTTGTTGCTGTTTGTGTAGTAATGTAAGACTATACGGGTAGTTACAAGTAGGAGGGCATTTTGTGGATTATTAGCTTGCAGCCTACGTTTCTTAGAAGGCACTCCACAAGTTCAAGAGAAAGCATAGGGTGGAGAACGAATCATCCAACCTCCCAGACAGAGGTTTCTTGGACAAGAATGATGAATTCCTAGCAGGTCAACTGCTTCTACAGAGGATGATTGCATTTCCTGTTGAGTTCTAGGCTGAATGGGAGAGAACTGAATTTCCCAGGCTCGAAAAGGAACTTCAGGACCAAATAAAGTGTTTATTGATTTGCATCAGGGATAAGTTGCCAAATGTTGCATTGTCAAGCAGATACCCAATCACAGTCATGAACTGTAAAGTAAAACCATATAAAAGTTAGAAATGAGCTTGAATTCTGAAGATAGAGGTGTCAGATATCCTGAGTATTCACCTTCCTACCTCACACATCCTCATTCTGCCTTTTTCTTTTTCAAAGACCCAGCATTGCTGTGCAGGAAACACAATAATTCCCAAACCCATGAGCTAATATATTTTATTGGCCAGATTTTTGCCCTTAATTATTTATAATTTATAATCCCACTGTTCTTCTTTTTCTAGATACAAAGCTAAAGACACCTGCATGTGTGATTACTGAGCTGTTGTTGGTAAATGAAACCTGTTGATAAAAGAGATGTCAGTGCTTAATTCTACCTTCACCTTGGGCCCTTATCCACCCACAACTGACTAAATTTGTTTTGTATCACCCTTCATTTCCCTGATCCTTGTCTCTTTCACTGTGAGCTGAGCACTGGTGAGTACTACAGCTTTGTTGTGAGCTGTGAGAAAAGGGACACTATTGTATCAAGTGGTTGGAGGAAAAGAAAGACTCAGGGCCACTGTCACTTCCTCAGTGGAAATGGCTGGGGCTGAATCACTGTCCTCATGGTAGATTTCCCATGTGATCCATGGATACCAATTAGTAAATTCCACAGGGGGAATTCAGAGAAAGAATTTGTTTGGCAGATGGTCATGCATGGGGAGTTAAGAGAGACCTTGCACAATATTTGCAAATAACGTACAATGGTTTTGAAAGCATCTTCATCAATTGTGGACAGTATTCCTTCTTGGGTTGAGGAGATAAGTAGAGGGAATTGGAGGTAGTATGTTAGTGTGCATATTCACTTTGACTTTATACATATGTGGATCACTTCAAATATTCACAGAAAATCTCATTTTAATTGAACAATAAAAAGATGAAGAGAATTGAAGATATCACTAGTATAATAAAAATATATGCTAGAACTAGAACAAAGAAGCAAAATAAAGGAGAAAATGAAAAAATGGGGATCATGGGGAAGAGAAATAAAATAAATTGAAAAAAAAGGCAGTATAACAATAGACATGGCAATTTCTTTCATCAATTTCTTCAAGTTCTTTCATCCATTTTTAAAATAATTTTTAATGTACAAGTATTTCACCTCATGGGTTAAATTTATTCTTGAGTATTTTATTTTTTGATGTAATTTAAACTATAATACTCTTTAAAGAATTACTTTTGTAATTTAAAATGCAAATGTTCAGCTCTTGCCTGTTGTAAGTGTTCACTCAAACCTCCATCACTTTCCTTTCTTGTTTCATAGCTGTTCTCCCCACCTCTCTGTACTCTAAACACATAGCATCTCAACTAACCTGACAAGGTTCCTAGGGTATTTCCAAGTGATTTTCCTTCTGTTGGAAAGAACCAAACCCACTTATGTTTCAAATATGTTTAAAAAAATGATTTCCCCACAGCTAACATCATACTTAATGGTGAAAAAGCTAAAAGTGTTTTTCTTAACATCAGGAACAAGATAAGGATGTCTACTTTCATCACTTTTATTCAACATAGTATTGGGAGTCCTAATCACAGCAACCAGACAAGAAAAAGAAATTAAAGGCATCCAAATTGGAATGGAGAAGTAAAACTGTGATTATGTGTAGATGATATGATACTATATGGAAAATTCTAAATATTCCACTAGAAAGCTATTAGAACTGAAAAATAAATTCAGTAAAATTGCAGGAGACAAAATTAATATTCAGAAATTAATCGCATTTTTATACAGAAATAATGAACTCTCAGAAAGAGAAATTAAGAAAACAATCCTATTTACATTGTATTAAAAAAAATAAAATACCTAGGAATAATTTTATCCAAGGAGGTAAAAGACTTGCACTCAGAAAACTATAAGATATTAAAAAAGAAATTGAAGAAGATACAAATAAATTCAAGCATATACATTGTTCATGAATAGGAAAAATTAACATTGTTAAAATGTCCACTACTGAAAGCAATCTATAGATTCGATGCAATCCTTATGAAAACACCAATGGTGTTTTTCACAGAACTAGAACAAATAATCCTAAAATTTATATGGAACCGAAAAAGATCCTGAATAGCCGCAGCAATCTTGAGAAAGAAAAATAAAGTTGGAGGTATTATACTGCCTGATATTAAACTATACTACAAGGCTATAGTAATCAAAACAGTATGGCACTGGCATAAAAACAGATACATAGAGCAATGGAACACACTAGAGACCCCAGAAATAAGCCCACATCTATATGGTTAATAAATCTATGACAAAGGATGGAAAAACATAAAATGAGGTAAAGACAGCCTTTTCAATAAATAGTGTAGGAAAACTGAACAGATACATACAAAATAATACTTATACTACATTCAAGAGTAAACTGAAAATAGAGTAAAGACTTAAGTGTAAGACCCCAAACCACAAAACTTCTAGTAAAAAATACAGGCAGTATTTGAGATTGCTCTTAGTAATTTTTTTTTGGATATGTCTCCTTGACTAAAGCTGTTGTAGAAATAATATTTTCCCGAGGGAATAATGTATAGTTTATATCACATTTATTTTCATTTTGTTTTATTTTATTAAGTCACTATCTTTCAATCCTTAAAATAAAAACCACATTCATGTATCTTCATAGTTCCCAAACTGGGAAATTTTCCCAAATTTCCTAAACTTAAAAATTTCCTCCTTTTACACTATTTTAATATTCCCTGAACTTCTTCTCTAACGATTCTAATCCAGTTAGAGTGGGTAACGTTTGTATAACTTCAGGAAGTGATGTCCATTTTTACCTCCATGATAAGATCCAGGGGGCAGTATTGGCCTTATCTGTCACAGCATCATAATTTCCTAGCACACAATAGTTAATTAAATGTTAAGAAATGTTGAAATGAATGATTTAATTGCCTGAAGAGAACAGACTCACAGCCCTGTGATCAGCTTATAAAAATACTTCGTCTTTGACCAGCAGACAAAGAAAACTTAGAGACTCGGATGTCAATGACCATGAGCACATAGGGGCTGAATGCTGGAAAACATGATGACACAAGCACAGAGCTGTTCAGCACCCACCATCCTGGATTTGCAACTATAGTCATCCAAAAAGTCAAAATGCTTTAGACAGAATAAAAGGTAACATAGAAGCATACCAAAATCAGGATGATGTATGTGGCTCTGGCCTCATGGGAGGGTCTGGGGGAAAGTCTGTTGCTATGAATGTGTTGGACTCGCTGCTTGTGCCTGAGCAGGACAAGGACCATGGAGCCACTGGCATACACCATGAAGCCCAAACTCAGAAAGTGGGGGAAATAATGCAATACAGCAATAATACACAACTGTATATAACAAGCTTAATTTCTCTGCCATTGTCCATTGATAGGGTACATAATTGTTTTCCCCACTAAGGTTCTCACTATTCAATGGACCACTTATCTCAGTGAGAAGACATGTATTTATCCAGAGGTGTAGGATCCAGCAGAGGAAACAGCAGAAAACAATGCACTTTGGTAATCTAATCTTGAGCTCCATCCACCTACAAATGTTGGGGTTCAGCTTAAAGGCCTGAAAGCCATTGAGGAGACAGATAGTGCTGAAGGAAGCCCCTATGCCCACTTTGTGAAAATAAAACATACATTTACATCCAGCATCATCCAGAAAATACTTTAAATTAAAAGCCACCATTGTTTGAGGAATCCCTTTGGAGAAAAGGACCAGGTCGTTGGCTAAGACCAGCTGGTTGAGAATCAGGTCTGTGGTTCTCAACTTGTGTCCAGCAAGCAAGGAGAAGTTATATAAACCAAGGAGGGAGGAATTTTCCAGAATCTCAACTGCAGTCTGAGTGAGGAAGATAATCCCCAAGTCCAATTTTCCAGAACCCATTGCATCAGAATCTACAGGTGTTGACTGTAATCAAATTCAGAAGAATGAGAAAAAAAAGCAGAAATAAATGATTTGCCATCACTATATAGAGTACTTTTTAGCATTATCCTAAACCATATTTTCTCATTTTAAGCAGGCTGTAACATTTTATGCTCTTTTTTGTACAAAGGTAATTCACAGATGAATAACATTAGAAATAATCTCAGATGACAATCAAACTTGTGAAGCAACTAGAATTTAATTATTCTAATCCAATAAAAGAAAGAAAAATTACAAAAAATTACATACGATGATAGAGGTGCTAATTATTGATACAATAGCAATTATGTTACAACATATATGTATCAAATTATGTCCATTAAAATATGTCAAAATCATTTCAAAAATATAAAATCTATTAAAATAAAAAGAAAGGAGGAAAGACAACTGCCAAGTGAGCAAAACAAACAAACAAATAAATAAAGAAGCAAACAAAAGAAATACCCTGGGTATCCATGTGTCCTGGTCTGAGTGAATGAACACTGCACACAGTTCTCCACAGATACGGAGATGGGTAAAGGTGATCTCTGTACAATGAGCCTATCGGTATTGTTTAAATTTTTTTTCCAGTATGATTCAGAAACCAGGAAACACCTTGGGCAAATTTTATTTGCTCTTGTGTGTTTTTTCATATCCAAGGAAAATTAAATGAATGAAGAAAACGACATTTAGCTGCCAAACCATGCAGGCATACAAAAAATGAACTAAGGACACAACTTACAACATGTACCAGGCACCCCACTGCCTCGTACATGTTGTCTTTGTGTATTGTAGTTCATATACCCACTGCCATGGTAAAACTTTCTGCCTCGGTCTATTTATGTACTTGTTTATTATGATGCTTTTTAATTAAATTTATTGGGGTGACATTGGTTAATAAAATTATATAGGTTTCAGGTATACAATTCAATAATATGTCATATGTATATTGCATTGTGTGTTCATATCCAAAGTTAAATTTTCTTTCATCATCATATATTTGACCTTCCTAACCATTATCTACCTCTCTCCCCATCCCCCGCCCTACCATCACCTTTCTCTCTGGTAACCACTAAACTGCTGTCTGTGCCTATGAGTTTTTGTTTGTTTGTCTTGTTCATTTGTTGCTTTCAGCTTTATATCCCACATATAAGTAAAACCATATGGTTGTCACCTTTCTCTGTCTGTCTTATTTCCCTTAGCATGATAATTTTAATATCTATCCATGTAGTTGCAGATGTCGGTATCATCTTTTCTTATGAATGAATAATATTCCATTTTTTATTATGCTTCTTGTTTTGTGCCATTGACTTTTCTACTTTGTTCCATTTTAACCTAAAGCTTTCATTACTACACATCATCTTCATTCTCCTTTAGTTTGAATTTATTTTTTTATTATGCATTGACTTGAGAAATGTTGGAAATACTATGATTTGGATTAGAATCATGTTAAAAATGTACCTATATTGTAATAATAATTTTATGAATATAATCTTGGGCTGCAGTTTCTATTGGCTGGTTTATTTCTGATCCTAATATTTTAAGATTTTAAGTTTTGCTTTAGTTTTCCTTAAAATTACCTAATTTATGTGTAATTTTGCCAAATTTTAATACACAACTTTATTTTTTAATGTAGCAATACCAATGGATTTTTGCCTTTATATATCTCTTGGATATTATTTAATTGAAAATTATATAGAGATAGTGATTCCCATGAGGCTGTACAAAACAATACAAAGAGATCCCATGACCACTTTACTCAGGTCACCAATGATCACTGTTCGTGACAATGAGTGTGTGCTCTGATCTTATTCAGATTTCACTACTCTACTCGTGTGTGTGTGCACACGCATGTGCACACACAAAACAAAGCTACCATTTTCTTTCATTTTGCTTTTTAATTTATTGTTTTAAATTTCATTTTGACTTGACATTGTTTAAAAATTATGTGAAATACTTAAATTGTTACAAAGTCAAAGTTGTAATACCAGATAAAATTATAAACATTTATATTGGTCCTTCCACTCTGTTAACACTCTATTCCTTTATTTAATTTATTAAAACTAAGAAATACATACATACTGTAATAAATATGATGCTTTACCTTACAGAACTGAAATTTGCACGTGGAAGTGGTGTCTGGAACATTACAACTTAGGAGTTAGTGTGAAGTGATGGGAAACAGATTCTCTAGAATCAGGTAGGTGGAGGTGGTGAAGGAAATCAAAAGGTTATAAATCTGTAATTGCGTATTTTCATAGATGTTAACTAGATTTATTGTGGTGATTACTTCCCAGGATATACAAATATTGAATGCCTCAAATGCTTTATTTCGGTTTTACTGAATGAAATATTTTATGTTAAATTTTAATTTATTATAATATCTAGTAATCTTATTTCATTATTATAAAAACACCATTGTTTTGGACCATGTACTGTGATGATTTTCCCAACACAAAATTATAAAAAATATACTTTAATATTTTTACATTCTTACCTTTTAAATAGCGTGTTATTTAGTTCTAATTCTGAGGTTTAAATACCTCTATTTCAATTTCTAAATACATTAATACCATGTAATAAATAGATAGTTTTTCCAGAAATTGATTATCTTGATCAGGTAAATATATATACATATACAAATGTAGTTATTTCTTGTGATGATAAGTTTTAAGATTTACTGTCTTAGCATCTTTCGAATGTGCAATCCAATATTTTTAACTATAGTCACTATGCTGTATATCAGATCTCAGGATTCATTTATTTTATAACTGGAAGACTGAGCCTTTTGATTCCCTTCACTACCTCCAATCATCTGATTTTAGAGAACCTGTTTCCCACCACTTCACACTAACTTCTAAGCTGTAATGCTCCAGACATCCACTTCTACAAGTAAATTTCAGCTGTGTAAGGTAAAGTGTCATCTTTATTACAATATTTATATGTTTCTTAGTTTTAGTAAATTAAATGAAGAAATAGAATGTTACCAGCGTGCAGGGACCAAAATAAACATTTATGATTTTATCTGGTGTTACAGCTTTGGCTTTGTAACAATGTAACTATTTTACACAATTTTTAAATAATGTCAGGTCAAAACAAAATTTAAAACTCCATAAAGTAAAAAGCAAAATGAAAGAAAATATGAGTTTTGTTTTGTGTTGGCCTTACAGCTTATCCAGACAAAGAAAAATCTTTCAAGAGAAAAAAAAAAAATGGCATAGATCATAGAGGCCTTGTTCATCCCTCTTGCAACGAAATCAAAATTGTGACAGAAAACACGGGGTAAACAGCAAGCAGTCACCTGGGTTCTAGACGAACTAATGCAATACAAACTAGGGAGAGAAATAATTAATCAACCTGTAGTGGTAGAAGGTAGGAGAGGGCAAAGACGTGAGGCTGCCAGGTGCAGAGAGGCTGAGTAGGACAGAGGCTGTGGCAGTGGCAGATGGCAGCTGTAGACACCTCTTAAGGGGCCATGTCCAAGAGTGGACTTTCATGGTGATGGACCTACTCGCTCTATTCCTCTGTTGAGCCCTGCCCCACTCCCAGTGTGCAAGGATGTAGTGCCGCCAACACTGAGATGTCATCAAATTGGATAACAGAGGTTGCTCCACCCAGAAGATTCCCTGAAACTCCACCATCCTAACTCATGGCCCCACCCAAGTTATATCCAGGTGTGTTCTTGGCAAGTCTGGTTCTCCTTGCTGAGCAGCACCAAGACACAGTGGTGACAGCTGGCCTCAGTTTCTGGTGTGGTTTCTTGAGGCAACTATAAGAACAGTATCTGTGGATTGCTTGCTAAATCTTAACAGGTGGCCCCAGAGGGGCACTGGTTGGGGCTAAACTTGGCCTGCAGCTGAACCCCTCTCAGGACTGTGCCACTGGACACCTACTACACAAAGCTGCACTAATAAGACTGGGAGACTTAGGAGCTTTGTACATAGAAACAGACACAGAAAGGCAGCCGAAATGGGAAGACAAAGAAGCAGTGACCATATGAGAGAACAGAACAGAGATCTAGGAATAATGGAGCCAAGCAATCTAATAGATGCAGAATTAAAAACACTGGTTATAAAGATGCTCAATGAACTTAGGGGAAGTATAGATGAATTCAGTGAGAACTTTAACAAAGAGATAAAAAGCATAAAAATGGAAATGGAACTTATAAAAGGGAACCAGTCAGAAATGAACACATTATCTGAGATGAAGAGCATATTAGAGGGAATAAACAGAGTGGATAAAGAAGAGGACCAAACCACTGATATAGAAGAAAAAAAGAAGCCAAGACTATAATAATAATTTAAGGATGTAAAGTGTAATAATTTTTACATTTACAATATTAAATGTAAAAATATCTGTGTCATAGGGATACCTGAAGGAAAACAAGAAGCTGAAGAGCTATTTGAAGAAATAATAATGGAAAACTTCCCTCACCTGGTGAAGGAAATAGACATAAAACCCCAGGAAGCTCAGAGAGTCACAAAAAAGAGAAACCCAAAGAGGCCCACATCGAGACACGTCATAATTAAAATGACAAAGGTTAAATACAAAGAGAGAATCTGAAAAGTAGAAAGAGAAAAGCAGTTAGTTACCTACAAGGGAGTACCCACAATATTGGCAGCTGATTTCTCAAAATATACTATGCAGGATAGAAGGGCTTGGCACAAAATATTCAACATGATGAAAACCCAGGATCTACAACCAAGAATACTTTACCCAGTAAAGCTATCATTTAGAGCCAAAGGACAGATAGAGCTTCTCAGACAAAAATCAGCTAAAGGAATTTATCAACACCAAGTCAGTATTACAGGAAATGTTGGAAGGACTTCTTTAAGAAGAAAAAACATGTATCAAAAACAGGAATAAAGAGTAATAATTACATTTCTTTCAACAAGTACCTGAAATGGAAAAAAATTAAGTGCTTCAACCACATGATAGATAAAACATAGAAGAGGAAGCTATCAACTATTATCTCAGTAATGAAACTAGATAGACTATTAAAATCAAAACAAAT